GAAACGCAGTGCTGGAAATGGTAAACAGTGCCTTAAAACTAAACGTGCTTACGCCAACGGGAATTTTGTCGTGGCGGAAGGCTTTGACTGTTCAAACAAGCCGCTGTTGCTACTGGTGGGAGATTATCCCATCAAGTAATTTGTCCTTTGTGACAAGGATTTTGGTTGGATGGCTGTCTGAGATTTGAACTCGGAAGTGTCGGGATCTCTTTCGCTGATGTTCTCCTCAACTTTGCTGGGTGGGGGGATAACTTCAGCCGAAGGCCTTCATGTTTGGGGAGGGCGGGCTGTGTCCCTTTTGAATTATACCCTGGCATTTGCCTTACAACTGAGGAAAAACACTGAAAACTTTAGTCGGCGTAGCCACTCTTAGCGCCCACTTGGCCGTCTTTTCAGGGCAGCCTCGGTTGCCCGTGAGCGACCTCAGCCTGTGGTTGGCGAAAGTGTCTTCCAAGTTGCCGAACTAAGGAGTTCCCCACTTCATCTAACTCTGAGTCGAAACTCTCAGTCAACGCTCTGATGTGGTGCGCGAAGAATGGAAATCCTCGTGTATTGCCTGCTACTAAGGTACAAAGGCGCGCTAGTCGAATGCGAAGAAACTTGGATTGTAACATTTGCGGCTTCTTGCAGAGCAGCACGTGCTTTCGTACGGACAGACCGCTTTTCCTGTTAAGGAGGGACCAAACTGCTTCTTTCCCACCTGGTTGACGTGCGCCTACCAGGTAAGCCTGGTGTCGAGTATCACCCCAAAACTGCTGTTTGGACCCACTGTATCGGCTGTCCGAGAAACTGTATGCAGTGCAGTCTCGCGGCCTTGGCGAAGGGCAGAGCGGTGCTCTTTGAGACATAGACAACAATCCCGTTGCCAGTGCTCCACTCTGCCGATATAGGCCTCCAGATAACCGATGAGAAACGATGGACTACGATACGTGGCTACTAGAGCTGTGTGTCATCGGCGTACTGCGCTAGGTCTGCGTGGTGGGAGGGTGTAGGTATGTCGCTCATTTACAGACTGAACAGCACAGAGGAGACTGACCCACCCTTTGCTACTTCAGACCGCATGCCACGACTTGTGGAAGGACGTTTGGAACGTTCGGGAGTCAAGGTATGATGAAATGGTAAGACGGGAAGTTCAGGATGCTGAGCTTTTAAAGATGGCCCACACTGTGTCGAAGGCTTTGGCGGCTTCTCGTCAAAGTTTCTGTTGGTTCTTTCAGCAAGGCGGGCCAGCTGCTGCGTCGTGCTATGTCTGCGACGAAACCCAATCTGCTCGTCACGCTCGTTACCTCCCGTAGGATCCTAGTGAGTAGGATCTTTTCGAATGACTTTCCAACAGTCTCAAGAAGACTGATGGGCCTGTATGAAGAGAGCAGCGAGCGAAGAATACAAATTATAAACGTCGCAGTGTGATTTTCTGCAGTTCCTTTTTTCGTAATTTCGACTGATGTGTGACCCAGCCCTCTCCATATGTGCTGTATCCAGATTCTAGTATTTCTCTCCTGTGTGGTTCAGGTTTTCAAGGCCACAAGACAACACAGAGCCCCATAAACAACCATATCGATTCAGACAAAGTATTGAATCAGTACAAAACCGTCTGTTTTGTGCTCTCATTTAAACTGCTCCTTGCGTGCTTATTACATGAACTTCCAAAAAGCACTGTTACTTGCGTCCCTCGAAACAGCGTTGCCCGCCACTGCAGCTAGCTTTCCAGCAGCACGCCACCCGTCACGTGGGTTGCTGCTAAGTTATGGCCATTTTCCAATTGCTTTAAGGATCGGAATGACGTAACAGATTGAATGTTGCGAGAGTTTTGTGGAGCACCGTACTGTGGATTTATTAGCATCATTACTGTGTTTCGCGAAGTTCCTGCAATCTCCCCTATGCAGTGCTCCACTTCATCTTTTTCCGTCAACAAGACGAAATGCTCGATCGTTAGTGAAATAAGTGCAAACATGGCAGCGATGCGAACTTGCGAATTCTACTTGCTCAACTTTCAGGTAGTGGAGAGATCAGCCAGATGCGTGCAGTTCATAACATTTCCTATTGAGGAAGCCGAAGGTTTGACGCGTCCAGAATGGTTCAATCGCTAAAGTGGGCTCCTGGCCGCACGGCCGGGCAAGGTTTAAATCCTGCCAGAAACTTCCGCTTCTTCTGCCCGTCCAAGCCGCCTTTGGGGCCCACACAAACGCGTTTCCATTCGTTTGGTACCAAGGGCTCATTTCTGTTGGATTAAAGCGGCCGGAGCGCGAAACCGATCACATCTGTCGATTGCTCACAGTTTTATCTCCAGCAGCAACAACTTTATGATAAGCTTAAAAATTACTTTGGGTGATTATTTTGTTCTTTAATGGTGCAGTATCATCTGCAGATGTCGATGAATCTGGAGGTATGTGGTATGAAACGGTCATGCACTGTTTCCTGGTGGTGACACAGCATTTGCCTGAAGGGACTGAGAAAACAACACAACTTTCACTCAAATTAGGTGCTACCCGACCGGGACTCGAACCTGGTACACCCGAAAGTGCGCCAGTCACATTATGTTTGTGCTCTCCAGTTTGGTATATTTCTTGGAATCATTAGTGTCACACAAAATCCTGCAGTTATTCTCAGTTCTGAGGCAGCTCACAACATTTCAGCATATTTTTTCATACTCATCTTAATGTTATCGTCTCGTCTCATGCTTGGTATTTTCCGTAGCCTCTTTCAGTCAAGTTTTCAAATCGATTTGCCATAAAAGTAGTGCAGTTCATTATCATTTGATTTTGCTATGTACTTACTTTTTTAATTCTGCAGAGAATAACCAGTATTCCTCCTGTTGTAGGTGAATGGCGTTGTACTGCAGGGACGGTGTCATCTCAATGCCTCGGCCATCATCAAGGGACTGCCAGGGCCTATTTTCAAAGTGATTGTGTTAAGGTAAGCGGACACAAGCACAGCTCATCAGTACTAACCCTGATGTTTCTTTACAGACTGGCATTAATGAATTTCTCATACTGAATTGCAGATCTGCTCTGACACTCCTTTAGAAGCATCAAATTGCATTGTCAGAGATGGCTTTGACCTGTGTTGACTTTAGTCTGGGAAGTTTGAAATTCCACTTCCTGGCCTCATTCCGTAAATTGTATACAGTTACTTGAACAAAAAAGTTCTGTCCTACATAGCAAAGAAATATTTTGTGTGAAGATGGCTGTTTTGCTGCCATGAAAAACTCAAATCCTGCTAAGATTTTGTGGTCAGAGAATCTGCCTTCATATCAATGTGTGGTAAAATATATAGGTTAGGCTGCTAGCTGATTTTTAAAACAGCCTCTAGAGTGAAGAGATTTCCTTAAAGTAGAAGATGCCCACGGTTGGTACATATTCCTGCAGAAGGATGACCGAACGTGGCAGGCGTGAGGCTTTCCACATAGCCGGTCAAGCATCGCAACATCCGCCACTGCCGTAATGATATCCGATGGTGGCTCAGGCAATTTGTTGTTAATTGGACGTTGATTGCAATGTCACCGAAATTTGTTATGAGGGCACGTGATAGGGGTTGGATTGTAGGGGTGGACAAAGGGAACATTCTAGGTCAGTGTTGGAGCCCTGTGTTAGAATCCCTTCAGTCTCTGTCAATGCCGCCACATCATCCTGTTGGCGCTGTGTTCTAGTCTTGTCCTTTAAGTTCAGTGAAATCGAGGAAATACCATACAAAATCTTTCATTGTACGTATCGTTGCTGGCAATTTCCTCTGCGCTGCAGTCAAGATTTCCTGGCATCATATTTTATTTGTATTTAAAATATGGATCAGGCCGTAGTTCATTCAGCCTATCTTCATATATTCTGTAGGACTGTCTCTTCTTCCTCGTGGTTCGTAATTACAAGCAATTTTATCAACTGTTGCATCGTTGGGTGTTTAATTCATTGCTATTTTGTCGTATAATTTAATTTTTTGTGATTTTCAATTCTTATTTTTTACTTTCAGCCTAATGGAAATTATTCACAGAAATTAATTAGTAAATTGTAAAATTACTCGTAGCTTTGCCATATTGAGTGTTTTCGGGAAATTAGTTATGACAAGTTAGTCCCATAATTTATCATCTCTCAGCTTGTGGGTTGATTGGGTAGTTCAATTCCTTTCGAAGAGTTACGTTGTTCGTCTCGAGCACTAACGGAGTTGCCTTGCGAAGCGGCAACTTCTCCGACTCCCTTGAGTGGCGGGTGTCCTTACCGATGAGGCGCTCCCACAGAAGACGCCTTGAAAGAGCATTCATTGTGTTCGACCTCAGGACACAAAAAATAGTGTCTGGCACTCACGTGAAATTCGGGCAACTCTCACGTTGATCAGGACTGGTCATGGGTTCGATATCAAGCAAGGAGATTTACTTATATAATGTTTCAGGAAGGAACCTGCGCATTTTGTTGTTGCAAAAGTTGGCATCTCAATGACTCCCGTGATGATAGATGCTTCTTTCTCGTTTTTGGCTTCTCCCTTTATTTTTGCTTTTGTCCCTATTTTCTACTGTGCCATTATTTTTCATTTCCTTTTCCTTCTGTCTGTACTCACCCTACCAGTGTTTGCGTGGGCCAGGAACCGTGTGGACTTTTGATCGATAAGAATGTGAGAAACAATCCGGTCAGCGAGAACACAGGACAGCAGTGCAACCTTCCATGTATGATACAGTGAGCAGAGGTTTATGAATGAACTTCATTGACAGTTTGTTGTGCATACTAATCGCGCCCCCAGAAATTGATGATTCTTGTATGTGAGACTTCGTGGTCCTTCTGTACGAACAATAATCGGGACATAAAGACCCATTCGAAGACTCAGCATTGTTCGAACCGTCTTCTGTTTAGTCTCCCAACGTTCTGTTGTCATGATGCACGGCTTTCTTTGGAGATGTTTCGCCACTCGTTACTGTGTGCCCTCTTATTGAGAATTAGAGACCGGAGTCTGAGTGTCTTCCACTGGTTGTTCTTAAGGTTGGCGTTGAAAGAACCTGGAGACTAGATTTGATTACTTTTAACCACATAGAAATGTGTCTGTGTGTCGCGGGTTGTCTGAATGAATTTCTTGTAAATGTGTTACGTGAAAACTTAAACTAATGGAACACATAACAGTGATGCCTTCTTTTGAAGCTGGCCCACATAAAATGGGGGGGGGGGGGGGG